TCATGGATACTTGGCACTATGATTTTCTCCATCTTAAAACACATCTTGTTATCTTAGTCCATTATGCTTATTCGGAGCTTTCTTAGGATGCGTTTCCATCATAGCTCTGTTTTGCATTAGAGCAGCAATATGTGCATCACCCATTTTATGGGAAGTTCCTGACAAAAAGGAGGGATCTGAGAAGAACCAGGAACATTCATTGCACAAAGTGTGGTAGAGGAAATAATACTTGAATTACTGTCAAAGACAGCACTAAGTATAAGGCAGATCATAATGAGAATAAACAAAGGGGAAAATGAAGACAGAAAATGGGGACTGGACAAGATAAATAGTTTTTTATTTAGGACACATGAAGAACCTTCACGTCAGTGTGTTCTGAAAAAGGACAGAAAAGCCAGTTTTATTTTAGAACTTCTAGTTGCAGCTGTTAGTCTGGTATTTCACAGCTGCACTTGCGCTTTGGCAGATGAATAACACTTTTTCCAGTGATTCCAGAGGGAGCAAGACCAGCCTCTGTGCGATTCACCCAACTACACGTGAGGATTTAGCACTCTGGGGATGTTCTTCTTCATCTATCCTGTCCAAGCAAATCCTTTATATCATGCAAATTTGTGGAAAAATAACAGAAATTGGGGGGGAATGGGAGAATATTATCCCCCAAAGTACAGCTTACGTCTTAACATGAGCTGTAATATTAGAGCAGCCTTGAAACAAGACACAGTTGCTACTCCTAGCAACAGAATGCACTTGGAAATGGACAAGGCCTGCATCTAGTCGGACGGAATGTGCAATATCTGTGATGTGGGGAACAGAGTGGTATGGAGGTACCACGGCTCATCCCTGTTATCATGGATAAAGAACATCCGGCAAAGATAACCACATATTTACTATCAAGGAAGATGGATCGCAATTACTGCCTCAGCAATGATGGTGAAATCATGTTCTGAAGCTGAACTTTGCTCATTATAACATCAATATAATACCAAAATACACCTCCACTTCAAAAGCTACCCGCCTCCGGGCTGCGCAAAAGTATGTGTGACTAGAGTCACTCAAGCTCCACCTAAAAGTAAAGAAATAGTATACAATGGTGAAAGAGAAGGGGGGTGTTAGGGAGAAGACCTCCATCGAAACATCTGGGATCAGTTGACAGGCTGGATCTCTCTTCTCCTATTGGATAAGAGCTCTGTGTTATGCGCATTTACTTACTAATATCTTGCTAGCTATTTACTAATATCACTGATCAGTTCTAGTTTTATATTATTCGACATCAAATCTGTTTTCGCAGTCAGTCCCTATCACTCGCTATCTTCTAATCTGTATCCTGTCACAAGCCCATGTAATAAAATTTATATCATATATATATACACACATGTAAGTTTCTGGAAACTCCATAATTGATACAGAGACTATAAGGGATTTGACCCATTGCGCTGCCCATGAGGTCCCTGAACAGGTTAGGCAAACATCCTCCAACTTAGCGGGCTGCCCAGGGAGGGCAGGTGGGTTGGGTACAAGGGTCTCATCTTTATTGGGAAGCTGGTAGACTGGTCAAATTGCTCCCTGATCTCTGTTGACCTGGCCTTGTGTCGTAACGTGACAATATTATCCCTGTTCCTCAATTTCACCTGTACCTCTAGTTGTTCTGCCACTGCTTTGATCTGCAAGGTAGGTGTTCGCGTGCCATCTTTACTGTACCAACACTTGTCTATCCTGTGCTTAGCAAGTTCCAGAGCTTAGGCACTGCTCCTGTGCCATTCACATTAGACATTTACGCTTGTGTAAACACTTTGGCTGGTGTTCACAGCTTCTTGAGGCTCCTTCTGGCCCATCAAAGAGCAAAGCTTTCATGGGAACTGGATTTATTTGAAAGCGAACTCCAGAGCTATTGCCTATACCTACAAATCCTTCATCAGTTATGTCCCAAGACTATCATAAGAAGCAGCAATACTTCTATTGATATGGTGATTTACCTTTCTCTTTTATTGTTGAAGAAAACTTCCCTTAGAAAGTATTTGGGTGGGAAGAATTCTCATGATTCAGGAACCACAGACGTGCCAGGTGACACCACTACAAACACAGAGATCCAGCAAACACCATCAGTGGAGCTGAGAGCATAACTGGGTAAGGGGAAAAGACAGTGGGGAGGTATCATGGTTTCTAGTGTGATGTCTGCTAAAACAGTATTGTAATCAGTCATAAAAAGTTCTCCAAACCTTGATAACTAACATGAAATGGCTTCAGTGAAACTGCTGCTCTGTAAAAAGAAAAACAAATAAAAAAGAAAGGTTATGACTCCCTGTTACTTCTTTGAATGTTCTGATCAGGACATTTTCCCTTCTTTCTCTGATTTAGACCAAGCTTCGAAAAAAACGGATTTAGATCCCCCCAAGCTTCGAAAAAAACGGATTTAGATCCCCCAAAAGACCACAAAGACTCATTCACTAACCAACAGGAGCAAGAGTTTCATTAGGTTGGGTCCAGGGCATGGAGGCCCCCTTTTCCCCTGGGCTGCCTTGGGGGGGCTCAGAATCTTCAGCCTCTGCCTACCCCACCATGGTCCCCTGCCTGAGCTCTTCCCAGTCCCACCAGCACATGGGATTTGTGTCTTCGGATGTCTCTGTATGAGTTTGAAGTAGCTGCAACAAAACCCATCTCTGCTGGGAGCAGCCTCCCATAGGCTGCCACACCGCACGGGAGCCCTCCAGGTTTGGCCTTAAGTCAAAGTGAGGGAGAAGTTGGCACACAGGGTCCAGACCTGGCCAACATCCAGGGTCTCTCCTCCTCCTCTGCCCTACCTGGTCTGTGCCACTTGCTCCGTATCACCTCGTACCAGGAATGAGGTGAGGCACCAGCCTCAAGAAGACAGTGACAGGGCGGAGAATATGAGGGAACTGAGAAGGTCAACACCTCTGAATATGTTGCTGCAGACAGACGTCAAGTAAAAATTACAGCAAACAGAAGTGAAGCAAATGAAAAGACCAGGCAAAGCCCAGAGCACCCCACACACGTTGCCTGAGAAGTTGTTGTGGCAGTAGCTTCGATACCAGATTGGGAAGAGGACAGAGAGACATCGCTCCACACTAATTGCTGTCAGGAGATACATGCTGCTAAGGTAACAGAAGAAAAACAGGAGGTAAACTACCAGGAAGATGGTGTCTGGGAAGTTCAAACAAGAAAAAAGCCTACACTGTGTAATGTGAATGGTAAACAAAAAAAAAGATGATCAGAGAGAAGTCAGCGATGGCCAGGTTCAGGACATAGACAGTGAAGAGGCTCTTCTTCATGTGGAAGCCCAGGAAACAAACACACGACTACCACATTTCCCAGCAGCCCACAGAGCCAAATGCCCCACCAAAACAGTGTGAAAAGTCAACCGTAAAAGGCTGTGATTCATGAGACAGGCTGTCTCTCCCATGTACTCCATAATACAAGGAATCATTGAATGTAGAGAGGTTTGTTGTGTTGGTCTCCGCCATGGTGAATGACCCTGCTCTGGGTGACCACCTTCTCCTCTCCCACCACCTCCTAGGAGCCTGTCCCCTATCATGCCCAGGACAGGCTCCCACCCCTCCAGCCCTGTCCCTGGCCAGGAGACATCTCCCACCTGCCCATCCCCAGCCACCTACCTCCCGGCGCTCCTGCGAACGGTGCTGCTGCAGGAGCTCCAGCAAGGCCAGACTTGCCAGGAGAAAGGATCTGGTGACAGCTGCTGGGGCCACCCCAGCTCTGCTTCAGCTTCCTCTCTCTCATCTGAGAGAGATCATGTCCCGTGGTCAGGAGACTCCCCTCACAACTGCATCACGTCGATGACAGCTTCCCCTCACATCTCTCATGGATGGCAATCTTGTCAGTGGGAGTTGTCCACATCACCCCCTTCCTCACCTCCTGCCATCCTCCAGCTTTGAGAGGGGCTTCTGGCTTTCACTGCGTGTACCTGGCGCTGGACCAGAAGACCCTCCACACTGGGAAATAACCAGTGTGTGGACATGAAACAGCATAAGGACTTCACCTGCTGCCTCTGATGAAATTCCCCAGGCTTGTCGCCTTAGAGATTGTGTCTGTGGGTGACACAGGGCTGCAAATGGGATTTTATCTGCAAGATTCTTGTTTCACTAAATCTTGTCCATCAGCACCAACAAGACAGCTCACTTTTCTCTGTATTTCCTTTTTTTTCTTTTCTCTTTCTTTCTCTCTCTCTCATTCATTCTCGCTTTCTTAGCTTGCTTCTTTCTTTCTTTCTTTCATTCTTCCTTTCTTCCTTTCTTCCTTTCTTTCTTCCTTTCTTCCTTTCTTCCTTTCTTTCTCTTTCTTTGTCATTCTCCAAATTGTAATTTTACCCTATGTCTTATTCTCTACACCACTAATCCCCCCATCACCCACTAGGACCCATTAGCTCACCCATATTTCCAAACCTTTTTGCAGAGCTCTAACTTGCTTAGACAACAGAGATGGCCAAGACTCCCCAAGGGCCTAATGTATCAGACCTTCCCCAGACAAAAGATCCCCCAAAACACCATGAAACTCATCTGCTGAGCCAAAGGAGCCAGAGTTTGTTCGCTTGGGCCAGAGCAATGAGGGTCATTGCAATGGGGAGCACAGTCCGTGCGCCGGGACCAAGGCTGGCTGAGCCATGTCGCGCTGGGTCTGTGCTATGAGCCCCCATGCCTCCATTCCCCAGACTATCTGCAAGGCTCCGCACCTCCAGGCCTCCTTGACAGCAGTGCCTTATAGAGTGGTCTCCACTGCAGCGTTCTCAGGCACATGGCTCTCCTCCCTGCTCACTGCTTTCTCTTCAAATACTTGGTGGAGGGTGAGTTTCATGGAGCCTTGAAACCAGCACTGCTGGCAGCTCCCTACCAGGAGGTAAATGAATGGGTTGAGACTGCTGTTCACCGATGCCAGCAGAAAAGATGTATACTCAGGAAATAATTCATGTGAACTTAGATTCAGAGGATCTGAAGACAGATAGGGGAAAACCTCTACACTGAAAGAAATACCAAGGGCAAAGAAAAAGATCACATAGAGAAGGACAGCAACATAGAGTTTCTCCAGGTGCCATCTCTGTGAGCCACATCGGAGTCTGACGAACAGGGACAGGTTGGAAATCAACATCATTGATGACAAAATTATGGAAATTGTAGTGTCTACACTATCAAATACTGTCTCACAGTCTTCAGCGAAGGTAAAGGAAAGATACATCGAGGAAACAAAAAATCCAGCAAGAGCCCAGAGCACCCCACTCACAATGCCTGATAAATGCTTTGGGCGGTGGCAGCAATACCAGATTGGGAAGAAGACAGAGATGCACTGCTCCACGCTCATTGCTGTCAGGAGACCCAGGCTGCTAAGGTCAAAGAAGTAGCACAGAGATTCGGCTTAAAATACAAAATTTGTGTAGAAACAAATAAAATTATGCAAATAAGAGCAACATACTGCTCAAATCTGCCAATAAGAGCAGAAAAAACAGGAGGAGCAAAGAGAAGTCAGCCTCAGCTAGATGCAGGATGTAGATGGTGAAAGGGTTCTGCTTCATATGGAAGCCCAGGAACCACATGACTATCCCATTCCCCACAAGTCCACAGAGAGAAATCCCTATACATACACCTGCAAAAAGCATCAATCCATAAAGTGGTCTTGAGCATTCATATTTGGTATTTTCCTCATAGTCCACATATCCAAAAATGATGTCATTCAGAGAGACATCTGTTGTGTTGATCTCTGCCATGGTGAATGACCCTGCTCTGGGTCGCCACCTTCTTCCTGTCCCACCACCTCCTAGGAGAGGCAAGGAAGAAGAAGGAAATGAGGGGCATCAGCCCCCCCAGCACTCACCATCTTTCACCATGGCCCCACACTAGCCCCAGGCTGTGGCAGGGAAGATCTCGTGCCCTGCCGTGCCCGGGATAGGTTCCCACCCCTCCAGTCCTGTCATCTCCCACCTGCCCATCCCCAGCCTCCTACCTCCTGGTACTCCTGGGAATGGTGCTGTTGTAGGAGCTCCAGCACACAGGGCCTCTGCAAGGCCAGACTTTCCAGGAGAAAGAGGGTGGTGATGGCTGCCGGAGTCACCCACTCTGCTTTGGCCTTGTTCCTTGTGCCTGAGGAGTAGACCTTTGCCTAGATGTAATGTCCCATGGTCAGGAGACTCCCCTCACAATCTCATCATGTCGGTGACAGCTTCCCCTCACAGATCCCACAGACAGCGATCTTGTCACTAGGAGGAGGCCGCGTGACCCCCTTTCTCTCCTCCCCACAGTTTTTCACCAGGAGGTGCTGATCTGATGTGATCCCATTAAGAAAGGCACTCAGACTCGGTAAAGTATCATTTTAAACGGCATTTACTAGATTTAAAACTATGAAGAAGCCAAGGATAGCACAGATAATTTAATGTCCCTTCAAGTGCTGGGAACTCCAGGTCTTCCAGCGTCAAACAGACCTCTGATCAGGGCAGATCGTGTCCATGGAAATGTTACCCCATTGTGGTCATTCGAGCTATTACAGGATTTTCTTAAAAAAGAAAATTCATTCTACTGACAAACAAAAAGGATATTCATGAGAACCATTGCAGCAGTCTTAGACAAAGGCAAGGACATGCAGGTGGTGCACAACGAGTTTTATTCCATGGCCAAAGGTGATGCACGGCACAGCACGCTACAGGCCTGGGACTACTTGGGTTGAGTGTTTCATGGATCACTAACTCTCTGATGTATCAGGATCTCTACGCCCCATTGCCATACTGGTGCCTCCTGGGTGTTGCTGTGCGAAGCTGGCAGTGGAAGACTTGCCCTAGCTCTCTTCTGTTCCTTTGCTATCCTTACAGCCTATATCACCAAGGGGATGGCAGAGAAGAGATTTGGCAGGACAAGAGGAAGGCAGAATGATGAGAATGAGGTGAGCCAGACATCATCAACAACGGAGATGAACGAGCTGAAACCCCTCAGAGGTCCCTGACAGTCCCATGGCTTTAATGTTTCTTCTTCCCATCATTCTTCAGGTGCAGAACGACTCGGGGTCGTGCCCATCCCTTCCCCTGCTCTCCCAGACCTCATCATACACACAATCCCTGCACCTGGGATGCCAACAGAGTCCCATCAACAGCTGCCAAAGGGGCAGAGCACTGGCCTTGTCTCAACTTGCCATGAAAAAACACCAGTGTTCAGAACAGCACGAGGGCTTTGCCCGCTGCATCTGATCACATCCCTGACATGCATGTGTCTCCTCTGAGATTACGTTTTGTGGGGTACATAGTGCTGCAAATGTGCTTTTATCTACAAGTGGTTCCTGTTGCACAATCTCATCCTTTAGTGTCACAGGGATTGGCATTCTCATAACTTATTTTCTTCCCATCTTTCATGTGTTTTCCATCTTTTGAATACATCTTCTTGGGACTTATTGCCTATGCTTGTCATCCTCAAGACTGAAGTCCTCCAAGGATATTCTTTGATTTCATCGGATGAACACACGGTGATGAACAAGGTCTACAGTCTCTCCAGGATGTCCAGCCTGCGGCTGCAGGAGTTGGGGCCAGAGATAGACTTGAAAAAAGGCCAATGCATAGGCTCAAGGTCCATCCATTAGAGAGAGATGGAGATAGGTGTTCAGACAGGTGCAACTCCTGCATAGCTCAGGCAAAGCCTGGTTGCTTGGGCCTGACCCTAACTGGAGCCGTTGGTCCCATCAGAAGGGGACGAATGGGTGGGATCAAGGCAAATTCAGGACTCTGGAAGGGAGAGTCAGAGTGCCTCACATGGACAGTTGAATGTGCTATGTTGTTCAGCCATACTTCATGACATTAAATCCCTTTATTCCCCTTTCCCACAGTTCTAGGCCTATAAAAATCAGGTCATCATTGTCCTAAGATGACAGCACGTGTTTTCCTTTCTCTGCTTCCACTGTGAAAAACATTTCCCTTTTTTGATTTCTTCTGTGACTTTGTAGCATCAAATTTCTCATAAATATTATGTTCTGTGCTTTGACACATTAAAGCAAAGCCTCTATCTAATGGCAATGTCTCCCAGAAGAAAGTTGGGAGAAGTCTTCAAGCACCAGTTTTGATGCCATTAGAGGCACTGAGCAAAGCCCTCAAGCTGTTGCACATCTGCACATCAGTGATTTCCCACTGTTAAGGGTCCCTGGGTCGTCTCTCTCACCTTTCTGCCATCCTCCGTCCCTGGCAATGATTTATGCACCCTCCTGTCTGAGGGGTGCAGGGACACATCCAGCTCGGGGCTGGCAGTGGTTTCACAAATATCTGCCAGGCTGATACCTCTAGATGGCAGGAGAGGGGTACAGATCGCACCGAGCATCCTCCTCCTCCTTCTGTCTAAAGAGCTGGTCAGCAGAGTCGACCCTGCGGTCCCAGCTGATGAAAAGAGAAACAAACCTACATCAGGTCGGGCTGCAGAGCCGGGGAAGAAACAAGAGCATTCTCTTACACTTGAAGTGGGAATTTGTCACACTATTTAATTCCAGGCTTAAATCATTCTGTGAAACATATGGGTTCGATAGTGCCAGGGAATTATGAGCGGTGTTCCTGCAAGGGGACAAGGAATCTGCTCCTATCAGTCCTACAAAAATCAAGAGAGGATTTTAAGACATGGTTCACTTTTCAGTATCTCCACCAAAGCTTTGTCCACAGGGCCAAAAGCACCCCAAAGGATGCTTCAGACTCTTTTGCATTACTTCATCCAAGTCTATGATACCCTGTCCTTCAAACTTGGAAGGGGACATGAGGCCAGCTGTGTTTCCAGGAAAGGCACCGATTTTGGAAAGGAAATATTTCAAGGTGAAGGGTGAGATAACGCAGTGCAACACAGGAAGTATAATGCCAAAGATCACCTCTCTGACGTCAGAGAGGAGCACAGCGGGCGAATGTCAGCTGCTGAGACAGGAACCTGCCCTGGCACAGCTCACCAAACACTCCCCAAACACAGCTCCAAGCCATGCTGTGAAGCAAGGCAGGGGATTACCAGATCAGATGGTCTTGGTAAGTCAGAGACACTAATTACTATATTTTTTCTGCTCACAGCAGTAATTTCATAGTCACTCCACTGAACACACCTCTTGCATCCCTGACCAAAAAGCACAAATCAGCTCAAAAGCAACGGTTCGTTGGTGGCTGAGTTCGCAGTCAAACGAGAGCTGGTGTATCAAGAGCCCTCGATAGTGAGGGCTGACAGACACAGGGGGGAGAGAGGAGCAGAGAAACACTGCCCAGCAAGTGCCTGAGCCAGGCTACAGAGTCAGTCAGACTGCTACCCTCACAGTCTCAACAGGGTCTTTCTCATAAAAAATCCACTGGTTTCCTTCCCTCTCCTTGTATGCTCTTTCACATGGAAAATCCAGAATCTTTACAGAGTCTTCAGGCAGGGCTATGCTTTTGGGGTTGTTTCGGTTTAACCCCACACCTCTTGTTTTTCTGGATGAGGAACTGACATACCAGAAATGGATTCAGACCTCAGGTCATGGTTGCGAAATGGCATTTGCTCAAGCTAACCATCCAGACAGGCCGGAGAAAAGGATGAGGAACCACAAGAAGCAGTTCCAGTCACAAACCCTTGCGTGCAGGCAACCCATGTGATGTGCAGACAAAACTCAGTTTGCAGCAGAAGCGATGCATTTCGGGGAAAGCCTTCCAGGGGCGATCCCGACCACATGCCTGCTTGCCTGGTAAGAAAGCTGGATGTGAAATCTCCACATATTTTTCACACATGTTGGCACCCTCTGAAGACACACGCACAAGAGTTGGCTGAGGAATCCTTCTGCCCTGCTGTGCCAAGCTTTCTTATCCACCTTCACTCTGCTCTTAAGCAGACACACCAAAAAAAAACCACCGGCAAGAGCTAAGAGCCTCCACTGCTCTGTTTTGATAGCACGCAGGGTAGAGCAAGCTGACTTTTGAGACAGGGAAAGCTCAGAACTCTTGGATAGGACAGGTTCAAAACAAAAGTTTCAAAGCAAAAGGTTTCAGTGGGTATTTCATCACGCTGTCCAGCCCAGGCAGAAGTTCTCATGCTACCCAGCACCTTTAGTCATGCTGCAGCTAATTCCGTTCAGCTGTAGCCAGACACGCAGCAAAGCCACCTTCCTTGTCTCACCTCCATCCCTAGAGTATCTTCTCTCAGGAAGAAGCTGCAGAGGTTTAAACAGTTGTTTCCACTGTGTTTTCTCCGGGAGTTTCATCTCTATTTTGGGGCTCTGTTACGTCTTCAAAAGCCCTCTGGAAAGCAACTCTCACAGAGAGAGTGAACTTCTTTGTACAGCTCCCAGCCAAGAAGTAAATAACAGGGTTGATGCTGCTGTTCAAACAGGCCAACAGGAGAGAGATGTCAAAGACAAAAACAGAAAAATCAAACAGTCTTAGCAATAGCCAGTAACCAAAACCAGCAGTGAAGAAAAGGAAGAAGAAGACAGCTAGCAGGACTACAACACAGAGCTTCCTTGGAGGGTGCTGCCATGCACAGCACAAGACCCTGACAAGCAGGGTTAGACCAGAAAAAATCAGGGTAAGCACTGATAAGAGGTAGCTCAAGACAAAGACAATGAGCGCCGCAGGGCAGAAGTAGAGGGTTGTGGTGAGCAGGAAGGAGATGACCCAGAGCAGGGCACACATGAGCACTGGCAAGCGCTGGGAGCAGTGGCAGGGGCAGCGGGCTGGGGGGAGGACAGATAGAGACATCATGACGCTGAAGGCTGTCAGGAGGTAGATGCTGGCGGTGAAAGCGAAAAGGATGGTGATGTTCAACGCAGTTGTCACGTCCCGTGAGCTCAGCCCGAGACAAAGGTTCTCTGGGTCATAAAATATCACAAGGGCAATGGCGATGGAGAGGAGGAGGGTGAAGTTGGCGGTGGCCAGGCTTAGGACATAGATGATGATGGGATTCCTGCAGACACGGGAGCTGAGGAAGCAGAGGACAGCCCCATTCCCCACCAGCCCGCAGAGGCAGATGAGCAGCGTGACAAGGACTTCGCTCAAGTGACTGGCTTCACAGTCAGTCCAGTCATAGTCATCGTCCTCATGCCTCAGCAGCCCGTGATGCCAATTCCTGTTATATGCCATTCCACTAGGCTGGCTCCAGCAAGCAGGGTTGGCTCTTTCCATGGCGGGGAATAATGTGCTCATTATGAAACCTCTGCTGCTTCTCCGTCCTTCTCACACAGCTGGAGGGATGAGATGAAACAGATACATGTTAGCAACTCTGCTGTCCTCCACAATAGACTTTTGAGATATTTGCAGCCATGCCTCAGCTTCTGCATGGAGAAGCACAGAGAGAAACGAGGGACAGGAGAGATGGAAGACAGGATGGGAGAAGATGAGTATGAAACAATAGCATGTCCAGAGATGGAGTAAAAGCTAGTGAGATGCCTCCTTCCTGGATTTGAAAAGGGCAGATCTGGAGGAGAGAAATGAGGCACTGGAACAGGTTGCCCAGAGAAGTGGTAGATGCCCCATCCCTGGAAGTGTTCAAGGCCAGTTTGGATGAGGTTTTGGGCAACCTGGTGTAGTGGAGGGTTTCCCTGCCCATGGCAGGGGGGTTGGAACTAGATGATCTTTGAGGTCCCTTCCAAACCTAACCATTCTATGATTCTATGAAATAATAAGATGAAAGGATTGTCCTTGGAGATGTCAAAGAGCTTTGGGAGTGGATCTGATACGGGTTCTCAGATGTCTAATGTTATAGTTGATATTACTAAACTGCTGAGTTCCTTCAGTGAGATGCTCGTTTCAGTATTCCCCTACCACATTTTTCCACAATGTTTCTAGGTCTTAATATCCTAAAAACCACTAGTTCCCAATCAGATTTGATGCAAATTGACCAACAGGTTCAAAACCAATGAAAGGAGGCACTGATTAAGCTCAAAAAAAAAAAAAAAAAAGCACCCAGGAAAGTCTGACCTTCTTTCCTCTTGTAGCCGGGAAAACTTCACTAGAGCAGATGTGCTGCAGACTCACATCACCTTATGCTCGCCAGCTGCCGTCCCTGTGATGGGATCTTCATGAGGTTTCCTGGAATTATCACATGGAAAACTGGATGGAAGCCTGCCTTGGTGAGCCTGTGCAGCGTCCAGCATGGGGTCTTTCTCAAGTCCTTTCACAAACGACTTTTCTCAGTGGTAGCCAAGCAGGTTCTCAAGGGTTCTTGCAAACAGGCATCTATTTAATTGCATTCAATGGTATCAGGGTTCTGGTTGTAATCTATTTTTGGCTTTGTACAGGAAATGACTAACAAAAAAGAGTCTCAGAAACTAGACCTATGGGAAAAGCGATTCTCTCTGTGTCAAGTTCCTCTTTCATTTCATTTTAAAGCAACCTCAATCCCAAAATATTCGTATCTTTGAACTGGCTGAACTTTTCTTCTATCATTCCAGGGGTGTCTCTTTAGGACCCTGCACTACAAGCTCAGCGTTGCTGCAAAACTTCTATTTCTGATTCAGATCTGGGTTTGCCACTTGTGATACCACCATTTCACAGTGATACTTGACCTTCGAGTACACAAGTTTCCAAGCGCCTGCTACTATGTGCATCAAGGAGCTAACTGAATCATAAGATCTGTGCCAGAACCAGCGCACAGGCAGATGGTGGAGAGATGACTTAGGATTTCAGGAAAACCTTTTTTTTTTCCTAAGGAGAGGTGAATCACTGCTGCTCACTTGGCTTTAGCCACCTGAAAGTTACAGGTTTCATCCGAATTGTCTTATACTCTCTCTTTGTAGCCATTTGGCAGCCTACAATGTTTTCCCCAGACAGGCCCATGTAATTTCTAGAGAGCTGAAGGTAGGTGAGATGATTCCTACTCAGACTGACTGCGGTGAAGGTGAAAAGCAAACAGCTCCTGTTGCCTCTGGGAGCAAGGGATACTCTTGCTGGGAACTGGACTCCAAGAGCAAAACCGCCTCCTCTCTCCCTCGCTGGCCCTGCATTTGTGTCCCCAACTACAGAATGTCACATCCCCTCACCAAGCCAACCCTTTCGAGTTGCCCCTCTATTCTGCTCTCATGAGACCCCACCTGGAATACTGCATTCAGCTCTGGAGTCCCCAACACAAGAAGGACATGGAGATGCTGGAGCGGGTCCAGAGGAGGGCCACAAAGATGATCCAAGGGCTGGAACACCTCTCCTATGAAGACAGGCTGAGAGACTTGGGGCTGTTCAGCCTGGAGAAGAGAAGGCTCCAGGGTGATCTTATTGCAGCCTTCCAGTACTTAAAGGGGGCCTACAGGAAAGCTGGAGAGGGACTTTTTACAAGGGTGTGTAGTGATAGGACAAGGGGAAATGGCTTTAAACTGAAAGAAGGCAGATTTAGATTAGATATAGGGAAGGAATTTTTCACTCAGAGGGTGGTGAGGCACTGGAACAGGTTGCCCAGAGAAGTTGTGGGTGCCCCATCCCTGGAAGTGTTCAAGGCCAGGTTGGATGAGGCTTTGGGCAACTTGATGTAGTGGAGGGTTTCCCTGTCCATGGCAGTGGGATTGGAACTAGATGATCTTTGAGATCCCTTCCGACCCAAACCATTCTATGATTGTACGATTCTATAAGTGTAAACAGGTCATGGTGAGAGAAGCACCAAGGTACACCAGCATAACGCTGCGCCATACAACACTCGCTGCCCGATCTACCCATGTGCTCAACAAAAGAGCAGAATCACCCAGGGTTTCTCAGCTTCGCTTTCATGGGCAACATCGTGAGCATGTTCACCTGAAGTTTTGATTTCCAGCACAAGATTTACAAACATTGGAGATCTGTTTGTATCAGGGTTGTGTTTGTATGTGTTCAAAGGAAGATACGTTCTGTAAATATTATGGCTCTTGTAGCAGTTGGTTGCTGTGTATCAGGAAAGCTAATAAAACCACCTGGCAGGCAGAGCTCAACCTCCTCAAGCTACTCCCAGTAAGAGCCTTCCCATCCTATGTTTCTGTCTCTTTTTTTGGGTCTGTCCTGCCAGTTTGCTCCATGGGCTTCTCCACCTGATGCACAGTATCACACTTTCCAGCAGCCATCAGCTCCCAGCTGGCTGCTCCGTCCAAGCCGGTATGGTGTCAATCACCGGCAGTACTTGCCTCTTTGTCCGTCCCTTCCTGCCTCCACGATTAAACCCTCTTGGCACTGTGAAGGTTTGGCTACTGACTGATGCTGCCAGCTCCACCAGCCAGACTGAGATAGATTTTCTCTGTGGCACAGGAGAACATCAAGCCAGAGAGAGCTGAAAATGTCATTTCTGTCCCTCCCCATCATCTCCTCTGGTCTGGAAGATTATGAGGGTCAAAGTGGTGAGTGCTCAGTTCTCACCAAGGAGCCAGAACAAGGTAGAGGCAGGAAGAGGTGGGACATCTCCACACAGGGAAGCAGTCAAGGTGCAGATCAGGGCCCAGGAGTGTGGCCATGTTAAACCCTGGAGAACAGAATAGATAAGGCAGGACTTTCTGGACCACATTATTTCAGCATTATAAACTAGTGGGCAGCATGAGGTGACTGTCACAGCTGTAATTTTGAGAACCCCATGGAGCCAGCAAGGCAAGAAACCGCAATCACCAGTACGTTACATGAAAGACACTTTTATTAAAATAACTTAAAAATAAATTTGAGGTGGGAACCAGTCCTATTCCTGGAAATCTCATCAAGCGTGGTCATGTCCTGGGGGACGTGCAACTATCCACTGTCGGTCCTGATCACCCAGCTGGGCAAGGGCTCTGCTTCCGTGGATGCTGGCCTGGGGTGCAGAGGCAGGGCTGCCCCTCTTTGGTCTGCAGCCATACAGGTTTAGGCAGCAATTTCCATCACAGGGGTCTCAGCCACCTCTTGGGAATCTGCCCTATCTTCAAACACCCTCTGAAGAGCCACTTTGACGGATCCCCTGAACCTAGACTTTCCGTAGCTCCCAACCAGGACATAAATAACTGGATTGATGCTGCTGTTGACAGAGGCCAGCAACAGGCAGATCTCAAACACAAAATTAATGTAGATGAAGAAGTTGAGGAAGATCTGAACACTGAGCGGGATGCCGAAGAGGAAGAAGAAGAAAACAGTGAGGAAGATGACAGTGTACAGCCTCCCTGAGTGGTCTTGCCAAGAGCTACGCCGAAGCTTGATGAAGAGGATCACATTGGAAAGAACCATAAAGGGAGTGAAAAAGCAGAAATTGAGAAAGCACAAGGTTCCAAGAACCATCCAGCAGTGTTCAGAGTGACCCAGGTCACACACAGAGTACACTAGCCCGGCAAGGACACAGGCGAGGGCCCACAGAAGGCTGCACATGATGGCTGACAGGAGCTTTGGGCGGTGGCATCGGCACCAGAAGGGCCAGAGGACAGCCACACACCTCTCCACACTGATGGCCGTGAGGAGATAGACACTGGTGCTGTATGTGAGCAGAACCATGGAGTGAAATAGCGGCAGCACCCGCAAAAGCTCTGGCTGAAAGCAGGTGAGCATGGGCATATGATATATGACAAGGAAAGCTGACGTGCAGAGGAGAAAGCAGGTATCGGCCATGGCCAGGTTCAGGAGGTAGGTGCTGAAGGGGTTCCTCCTGATGTGGAAGCCAAGGAGCCAGAGGATGGCCCCGTTCCCCACCAGCCCACACAGGCAGATGATCAGTGTGATGCTACCGGTGATGATTTCAGGGATGTGTTCTGCAAAGCACCTGGTCCCATTGTGTCCATCCCCATAGACTGTGCTCTCCATAGGTGCTGGGGACACTGTACGCCAGTCATGAATCATGTTGTTAGGATATCGGTCCATCTTCCTCCTTTCTCTCTTGTGCTCACCTGGGAAAAGCTACAGATGAAGGCAAGATTAGTGACTCTCAGGTCCCCAGTACTGTGAATGTCATCTGGTTGTTCAACCTTCCCCCCTCCTCCATGAGCTACAACATCTGCAAACCAGAGAACATAAGAACTGAGCAGAGAAAAGAGAAGGAAGGGAAGGGAAGGGAAGGGAAGGGAAGGGAAGGGAAGGGAAGGGAAGGGAAGGGAAGGGAAGGGAAGGAAAGGAAAGAAATGGGAAAAGAAAGGGAAAGAAGGAAAGGAAAGGAAAGGGAAAGGAAAGGAAAGGAAAGGAAAGGAAAGGAAAGGAAAGGAAAGGAAAGGAAAGGAAAGGAAGAAGGGAAGGGAAGGGAAGGGAAG